ACAATGTCATTCTCAATCCTCACCTTTTTCTGCATTTGTCATTTAAGGTTTTCAACTTTGTTATGTTTTTAGATGAATCGATCTTTCTCTTTGGATGTTATTTTCTTCAGCATAAATCCAAAAGATTCTTGCCGCCTTTCTAAATGTAAATTGTAATCAAATTTGATATTTGTTTTTTTTTTGTTGGGATCTTTAGACTTTTTTCCGTTAATTGACGAGTTTTAGTATTTTTTTAGGCTTTTGTATTATTTGTAAAATTTGCATCATACTGTTCTAATGTGCTTTAGCGATTTCAAAAATGCTTTTGAATGGTTTCTTTACTAACCGATGAAATATTTCCAGTTTTGCGCATGTATATTCATGCCATAGACTATTTAATAATATTGTGTTTTTCTTTTTTATGAGTGGCCAAAATTATGAGATTGAGTGAGTTCTGGCATAGTTTGAGGAATAGATTTTAGAATCAGTGGCGTGATTACTTGGTATTACCATAAAAAAGTCATTTGATATTTAGTTTGGTTTTTATATATACTGTAGATAACAAAAACATGATTTCCAATGTCAAATAGTTGAGTATCATGTGTCATATGTACAAAATCTTTTTTTTTAATGGAAAACTACATTATTCATATAAGTTTAGTATATAAACTACTAAAATTTGGTTTGGATAATTTAGTATATAAATTAATGTAACAATTTAGATTATTATATAAGTGGGTTCAGGTTCGAATCGGTGAATTCTATTTTGGTTTAGTTTGGTTTATGTATTTTATTTATATCTTTAAGTGGTACACATGCTTATAAAAATTATCACAAGTTCGAATATACACTAACATATTTTGAATTTTGTTTATCTATATTCATTTCAACCCGCGCACAGCGCGGATATTATCTTAGTTCTCAGTAAGTTTCATGTTTTCCTTTTTTTTTCTTTTTTAATTGATTGTACCGGATTTTCTTGATTTTTATGGTTTATTCTCTTCGAAACGATGTCGTCTGAATTAGGGTTTTATGTTTTGGCTAAACGATGCTGTTTTGCATTGTTATTCATATCTTCCAAAGACGAATTGTCAAAAACACTCCCACAGTCTCTTATCGTTTGACTTTGATTATTTAAATTTTGCTTCCTCTGATTTTTTTGATTTTATTTGCGTCATGGGTCAAGTACGCTAAAATTCCTTGTTCAAGT